TGTGTGTGTGTGTGTGTGTGTGTGTGTGTGTGTGTGTGTGTGTGTGTGTGCGTGTGTGTGTGTGTATGTATGTGTGTATGTGTGTGTGTGTGTGTGTGTGTGTGTGTGTGTGTGTGTGTGTGTGTGTGTGTGTGTGTGTGTGTGTGTGTGTGTGTGTGTGTGTGTGCGTGTGTACATTACTTAAATTAAAAATGTTTACCATCAAATGATTTTCGTCTTCTATAAACTGCCAAGTATCTGTAGGCAAGCGACGTAAACATAAGCTGAGTCAGCTGACTCTTGATTGCTACTGCAACCACAAAGTTGTCTCATCCTCAGATAGCAGTTTGAAGAAGAAGGGTGTAGTGACACCAGCGTTGGGATAAAAAATTCCAGTCACTATGTCTCTCAGTGAAACCAACAAGGGTTACGTCCCAAGAATATCTCTGTTGGACTCCATTATTCTGAACGAAGAAGCATACTCACTCATTAAGAGTCAGTTATTGGCAGCAGTCAAGTATGTTGGTCAGAGCTCCCTAACCAGATTCGAGCCCGAGATAGATGCAGGACTCCGGTACATCCTCCTAAAGGGTACTGTTCAGAAGGCAAGGAGTTCGATTGGACAGCAGCTTCTGCAAATCAAATATGATGATTTGGTTTCTAACAAAAGACTCCGAAATTACGTCCTCCTACTGGTATTTGGAAGATGGTTGAAGCAAAGAGCCGGCAATGTAGCTACAGCAGTTTTTAGAAATGAAAATGCAGGACTATTTACTAGCCAATGTATTAATGTGTTTGAAATATTATATATGGTGTCGCAGTTATTAAATCTCTTAGTGTTTCTTAAGGAAGGAATATACCCATCAGTTTTTGAAAGAATGCTCATGTTGAAACCAGTGTCCTCGAATATTAGAAACGTACGGAAACTATCGTACGTGTATTTTACAAGAGAATTATTGTGGCATGGGTTTGCTGAACTCCTTTCTTTTGTTTTACCATTAATCAATATTCAGTATTTTCACAGTATAGTCAGGAGACTTTTACCAAGTGCTGTTAATAATGATGATGCAGAAGAAAAGGAAGTCAGTTTTCACCAACACACAACATGTGTAGTATGTAATTGTCCTCCTACACTACCTCATAACTATGGATGTCAGCACCTGGCTTGTTATTATTGCATTCATTCCAGTTATGCATTAGAACCTACATATTCTTGTCCACTGTGTGGTCATACTATAGAAAGTAAAGTGCAAATAATTCCTGTGTATACTGTAAAAGGTTGAATGTTAATTTTGTTTTGCTTCTTATTGTAACAGCATATATTTTATACGGTTTTATCAGTATATTAGAAATGTATAATCCTGTGAAAGCTAACAAAGGTAATTCACAAATGGAGTATATATTAAAATTTACTTAAAGATTTATTGTTTTAGTTCATATCCTGTGCTTCTTACTTTAGGCAAGTGGTATGGTATAAAATGAATTACAGTAATTGTTAAAATGTGTATTTATGCAACATATATACAAATAAATACATATGCATATATACATAAGTTATATATGTAAAATATTCGGTTATTATAATCAGAATTGGCCTTAGAATTACTATATTAACTGTT